ATCGCGGCTTTTTTTTTCTTTCTTCCAATTGCTGCACCGATCGCAATCGTGATCGCGGTTCTTTTTTTTTTTGCTTGGGGCGGCAGAAATGCTGGAGCTGGCCCTGATAGGAACGCTGTCAAAAAAAATTTGGGGCACAGCTTTTTGGCGCCTCCAAATCTTGGCACCCTAGGCAACCGCCTAGTTTGCCTAAATGGTACCACCGGCCCTGGGTGTTGTAGAGCTTACAAGCATGGCAGAGTAACTCTTGCCAGCAAGGTGCATTCCTGCAACCTTAGAGCCTCTACACCCACAGCAGCATCCAGAAACAGATGCTGGTTGCCCCTCAATCACAAGTTCACTCCCTATGTAAGACCTCTGACTCACCTACCCTGTGCCAATGCCAGTGATCTGGCTTGTTCAAATCCTCACCCAGGCATTGCAGGGGTGGGAAAGAACCCTACCCCTGGTGCCTTGGACATAGGGATATACCTTAGTGCAGTATGTACGTGGTTTAAATTTTCTCTCCCTTAAACACACACACACTTCAAATCAGGAGACCTTTCAATAAGGTTTACTATTTCAAAAACATCCAATAAACAAGATGGGCAGAACTTAGCTCCTTCGAAACTAATCTCATTCTTCAGTCTGAATCAAAAATGTTTTGTTTCTGAGAATCAATAACAGCCTTTGTCAGGAGTCAAATATTGTGCCAGTGATTCCGTTTCTAAATATTTAGATTTAGAAAAAGTCAATCAGAAGCAAACTCAAGGCCTGAAAGAGATAATCTATATCCAGGTATTTAAAATTAATCAACAATCCAAAGAAATACAGTGTACCATAACAAGGAACTTAATATTTTCTCCTGTCTACAAAATAAATTAGCATGGCATAGGAAAACTAAATAAATCATGTCTATTTTCAATTATTCTTGTACAATAAATAATAAAGTTTTGTATTGGATGGTTAACATCAAAGTTACTGCCAGTCACAAATCCTATGCATAACCAAGATCATGTAATACAGTTCCATTTAGACTATATCAAATTACCTCCAAAAAAGTACGATTAGCCTAATTTGAGATTTATAAAAATCTGTCTTAAATTGTTTGAGTGTAGTTCTACTCCGTAGTTTTGATACTTCTACATTATGAGAGAACCCTGTGGAATGTGAGGGAGGAACCAGTACAACTAAAGGAAATCACAAATACTGAACTAACATATGCTAACTTTTCTTCTGGGAACAAAAGGAGCATCTTTGTTTTCCCCTCACCAGCAAACACCAAGCAATCAAAGAAGAACCTTTTCAGCTACAAACGTTAGCAGGGAAATTCAGTTGTATTTAATTAAGTTCTTCCGAAAGAAACTGCTCGCTGTGGCACTGAAGAGGTTATCAGAGGTCAGATGCCTGCACTGACTTTGTGACCTCCAAAAGGCCAAATAAAAGGTAGTGGCATCCCTGCTGGTAAGATGGGCTTCCACGTTTGTTTCTCTCCCTTTCTGCTTTAATTTAATAGCAATCAGCACAATATGGCTGCTTTTCTTTGAACAATAGGATGGGCAGAAGTTGGATTTACAACACCACCAGGGGTAAGATAGGGAACAAGTGCAGCTCGCTATGACTCTTGATCTACAATAGGAGTGTCACTTTGATACACATAAATAACATGCAAATCTACTTAAGATTCATTGTTGTCAAAACTAGACAGATGTGCACTTCTTAAAATTTTGTATTACCTTCTGGAACTTCTCACATATGCAACTTATGTTAGATAAAATAGTTCTCTCTAAAATTAAAGATAATCACATTTATAAATTAGGGCTGTGCAAAGAATGTGTTGTCAGTAATTCTTGGATCATTTATAGCGGAGCTGTTATGACAATATTTGCGTGTGCATATCAAAAATATAAAAAAAAGTCAGTACAGTAAATAGAACTGCAAGGTATTCTAAAAGAATCCTGGCAATATCATTCTCAGTATCCCCTTACTCAGAGAAAACTCACATTGTAGTCAGTGGGGCTACACAAGTACGATGACCAGATAGCAAGTGTGAAAAATTGGAACCGTTGTTTTTTTTTAGGGGAGGGGGATAGTTGCCTATATAAGACAAAACCGGTAATATCTGGATGTCTGGTCACCCTATACACAAATGAGTAAGGGGAGCAGGATTTAGCCCAAAGTATCTAATGAAAAAGTTGTGTAATTGCACAGATTAATAAAGCTGCATGATTTCTGAGCAGCTATTCTTACACTGATGCCCTAATAATGAATAAAAAGCATTCACCATCCACATTAATACTATTGAGTCAAAAATTCAGTCTCTCTTTTTAATAACCTGAAGCTAAAACTGATCTGGTTATGCTCTAAGCTTCCTTTAAGTGCTTTATATTAAGACAACTTTAGACATGCATGTTATCTTTGTGAGGAAACAACTCTTCCTTTCCTTAATTAAGCTATTTGCATAATAGCAACCATGAGTTTTTAAAACTATTTCTCCCTACTTCATTTGTCAGCTATCGTGCTTCATCCCCTTGACTATTTCCCTATTTCATCCCCTCAGTGGGAGATGCCTTCCACTGGACTTCTCAGTCTTGGAAAACTCATCAGCATAACCCTTCAGATGGTGGAAGTGTAGAGTTCCTCCTGTATAGGATAACACTCTCCACCATCAATGCAGTTAATAATTGGGAAATCCTGGTCCCATTGACTTCAGTGGGGCCAGGGTATCACCTATTATCTCTTTTGGGCCCAAACCCATACTCCAAACAGGGCCAAATCCTGCCTGCCCACCTTCACAAGTGGGGAAGACCCGAAATGCAATGGAACTACTGCAGTTCCATAATGGAGGTGAGACAGGAGGGGGATTAGAGCAACCCGTGAAGGGGCAGCAGCACCACAGAGAGGGAATTTAAGGGCATGGTAAGGGAACAATCGGTAGATCTCCAGAGTGGGTGCAGGGAAGCTCTACCTACTATTATAGTCCATGAGTTGTAATAAAGATGTTGGAGCAGCTGTGCCAAGTCACTAGCCTGGAGGAGAGCAGTTTACTTGGGTTTCGGGGGGAACTAGGGTGGAGGAATGAAGGATGTATTTTGTTTTCAGTCTTTATTATGGCAAAGCTCCTATTAAAATCAGTGAGAGTTTTGTTTGCATCACACCCCTCAAATGACATATCTACTTTAAAAATATATATATATATTATTAAATGTAGGAAACATCAGTATTTTTTTAAATAACTACCGTATTTGATCTCAGTTCATCACAGTATTAAATCCCATAGACCAGCAATAGTTAGATTATGTACAGCAGGGCACACATCTTTTCTAAATCATCCACTTAGCAATGCCGTGTCGACAGTTTTGCCTGTCAGCTTTATCCATCAGAAAATGGAGCTGCTCCTCCAAAACACAGTGACACAAAGCCTTTGAAAATGCCAATCTGAACAACTGCATCACTTCTAGTAACTACAGCTATACAATACAATAACATAAACTTGAAAGTGACTGAAAATAAATTAGAAAACAGATCTTGAGATGAAAGGTATCAAAGGATAACAAGGGGGGAAAAACTGTTAATTTTCTTCAACCCCAAACAAGCCTATTCTTCCCTGTGCTTTAAATTTTCTCTTTTGCTGAAACTAGTTGCAGTCATGATGCTTTAGTCAATACGCAAAGCAATTACTTTCTAAAGTAAAACAACCTTAGATCAACTAAAGATAAGGGCAATCATACAGTGTGTCTTGGTGATATCTAAATGCCAAGCTTCTGGTTTCACTTCCAGCCAAATCCAAGTGATATGAAGGAGCACAATATTTATTTTCCCTGGTAACGCACTGGGATACCAGAGTGTACACTTTAGCTAACTACAGTCTGCTGTGTTTGTGCTCATCTTGTTCCACATAATTCAGTAAAATACACAGACAAGTGCCACATCTGGATTTGTTACCTAGGCAGCAAATAAACTTAGTCTGAAACCTCACAGCAAAACATACAGTTTTAAATTTTAACTAGTGTGGAGGGCTACTCATTTATTAAACTCTGCAAGAATAAAAACAAATCCCAGGTTTCCAACTTTGTCTCAATTAAAAGTTAGATTACTTGTGGGGAGAGGGGGTACCTTAAATTTCAAGACTCTTATTTTCTGTGTAGGGTTTAATATTGAATTGAGCAGCAATGTCTCAACAATGCAGCAATTCTGTACATTGGGACAAACTCAGAGCCCTATTTAGAAAAAGCAAACAACTAAAATCATCTTCAGAATAGCATAACTAAATTAATAACAAAAATGGAAAGGGGTACCTTTGTTTTTGTTTTTACAAACATTACAGCTTCAAAAAATTAAGCATGAGAACAACCACAGTTCACTTAAGTCAGAAAAAAATATTTAACAAGAAGTCCAATCAGTGCTTTTACATTTCACTAAAATTCAAGATAAAGGCTATCAAAAGCAGCTTTCATGTGTGTTCATAGTTAGTATTTGATTTGTTTCAACACTGTTTTTAAGAACCTTACAAAGTTTTGGCCTTTGTCTTGAATCCAATAGAAGCCTTATGAAACAGTAACTTAATGAAATATTGGACCTCACACTCACCTTACACACAGCAGAGTTTTTTAACATACATTTCTTGAAAACATTTTCCTGGGAAGATAGGCAGGGCTGCCATGATGGACAGCTGGTCAATGTAAGGTTTTTCCTGCTCCCGTGAAAATAGAGTGTTCTTTGTCTTCTGTTGCACGTGAAGTCATTTACACCTTTTGTGGCAGAGTAACTGGCCTGGTTTGTTTGAGAAAGAAGAACAGGTGTCTTTGCCTTCACTTCAAAGCGCTTCATATTTGCATTTTATCCTTCTCCACTTTGGTTCAAGACAAAAAGTTCAAAATCTGAAGAGAAGAGGGACAGTGCAATGGGGGGGGGGGAATGCTAGCCTTAAAATGATCCACTCACAGTGCCTATGGTAGCCAAGAGAGTTTTCTCAGGTATTTTCACAAGGGTATGAGCTCATCCTGTAAATGATAAACTAAAGGAGGAATGTAAACTCTTGAGGCCTGAAAAGGTCTAAGACTGTAGTCAAACGCATCCAAGCTAGTTACCTTAAGGCTAAGCAACATAAAAAAACAACCACCCTAAATTAAGTATCACAATTTTTAGAAAAAGTGATCAAAATTGTTCAGTGTAAGAAAAATCAAATTTTTACTATTGTTCATGGTTAAGAAAAAAAGATAAAACACTTAAAGACAGAAAATGTAATGGCATTGATCAGAAGTGACAGTGAAAATGTATAGTTCTTGTGACTTTAAGGTCTTACCACTATTTTTGCTGACTTCTACAGAATCCAAGCTTTCATTTAAAACCAAATCAAATTTCAAGCTTTTTCATACGGAAGGTAATCAGCCTGGTAAACAGAATTCATTTTTTTTTTTAACAATACAACTCAAGTTATCTCAAATCACTTTAGTAAGTGGTGGATTTGACTCTGTAAGCAAATGTAGCAGCAGCAATTATGTACTTGACCAACAGGGTACTCAAAGCCTTTGGCCAAGATCCTGTGAGGCTTATGTTCGCCGTTAACTAGACCAGTCCCACTGACTTCAATGTGACTACGCATCATGCCTAAAGTTAAGCACATGCATAAGCCTTTGTAGGACTGGTGCCTTGGACATTACAGACCATTTTATTGAAAGAGAGAATATTGCTGAGCATACCAGCTTAATTCCCTAACCCTAACAAACAAACAAGCAGATCCACGGGATGATTTACTTCTACTTAAACAAAGGATCCTTCTGCTCAAGGTCGCTGATCAACACCTTAGTCATAGGTCAGCATCGTTAAGAGTACAGCAATCTTCAGCATCAACATTATAAAAACGATTTGGACAGATTATCCCCTCCTCTGTGAAAAGCCATGGGAAGGAACTTTTTACTTGAAAATCTCCATGAGGAATTCCTCACTGAGATTAACGCAAATTGTGGATATCCACACCCTGCCCCCCAATCCTCCAAAGCCTCCTCCAGGCCTGAAAGATCATTTGGGACCCACAGAAGGCAAAGGTCATCCACACAGACACCCTGCACCCTCTGCTGTGGTTCTAGACACTGCTGTTGCTCTCTCTCACACACACACACACACACTCTCCACTGGATGCAGTGGCTCCCAAGGAAAGAGGTGTGTAGAGACATTCATGAAAGAGATAGTACTCTATTGATTATGCCAATACAGTCCCAAGCTGTATCTTCCACAGGCCTGGAGGAAGAATGCTGTGCTCTCCCTGACCATGCCCTCACCTCACCCACTCCTCCCCGGCCTACCTTAACTCCAGCCTCCTCCGTCCCCCATACAGACCTTCAATCAAATGAAGAGGTCTCTACAGAGCGTGTAGAGGTGTGGGAGAGACAAGGAGGAAGGACAGTACCATGAAGCCACCTAAATTCAAAATCTACATGGTGGGGGGGTGGAGGGCAAGAGGAGAAACAATCTGTGTTTTGGGGAGCGGGGGTGTTTTGAGGGACAGTGGTCTTGATATCCCCCATTTAGGAAGGCTCTGTAAAGCAAAAGGTGCTATCGCTTACAGGGAGTATATGAGCCCCACGTTTTGCTTTAAAAGTTTTTCAGAGGGATGGAGCGCTATTCTAGGCTTCTGTTCAATCTTGCAGTGATGGGAGTGTTGGGGCACTGCAAATTATATTCTACTCTGTAACACAAACATTGATTAGGGTGCCTGCTGAGGAGTCTTGTGGTTAAGGCAATAGCTGAAGACTCCCAAGAGATGGGTCCAATTCCTGCCTCTGCCACATGTGACTTTATACAAATTATTTAATCTCACTGTGCCTCAACTCCCAATCTGTAAAATAGGGATAATAAACCTCCTTCCTCCTCACCCCCATCCTTTTTCAGTTGTGTGTATTTACATTATAAACTCTTTGGGCAGGAAATACATCCTGCTTTGGGTATGCACGAGGCCCTAGCAAAATGATTTTGAGAGTGAATATTCAGTTGTGGGTATTATGCACTATTGCTTTTGGTGTCAATTAGTTTTCTGCTTTGCTCTGTATGGGCCTTTTGGAATTAACTCCAGCTATTTTTAGTCTTTATGAATCATCATGTAGAATAAGAAATTTCAACTCGAGAATTTATAATTATTTTCGGTTAAAACCACCTCTGCAACAAAAAGCTTGGTTTGAATTAAAAGCTATAGCTTTGTGTACTGGAAAATATGGTCGCCTTGTCGCTAATTTAACAACAAACCACTCAAAACCTTTCACCAGAGGAATTCTTTTACATGAATAATATTGAATACAAATAATAATTAAAAAAATAAAACCAAAACAGTCTTTCTTCCTGCAATTGAACTAGAGCTGTTATAAAAGAAGAAAGAGTAAAAATAGCTGGAGTTAATTCCAAAAGGCCTAAACAGAGCACAGCAGAAAACTAATCCAAACAAAACAATATATCACAGAGAACCCACCACTGAATACTCAATTCCATAATCATTTTAATAGCAGTTATTTATTACACGCACTAGAGGTGGGGGTTTCAGAAGTGCTCTCCCATTAGAGCAGGATTAGGCCAACACTGGGCACTTTTGAAAATCCCATTCTAAAGACCCAAAGTCTGATCCAAAACCCATTAAAATCAAACAAAATACATCAGGTTGCCTTCACTGGGTATGGGGTGGGGCCCTGATCCTTCAAATCCTCAGTCATGTGAGTAGTCCTTACTGCTCCTGATTTCAGTAAAACTGCTTGTAAATAAGTAAGGGTTGCTTATATGAGAGCTGCGGGACCAGGCCTCAGACCTCCACTTTGATTAGCCAGCCTAGAAAACGATGTTTAGTAAAAGATCTGTTTAGCATGCAAATTGAAGAACCAAACCTGAAAAAGACTTGGGGGGGGATCATCCTCTCCCATAGAGAAACAGAGGAAAAGCCGTTCAAATGGAAAGGGTTAGAAGGGAAGGCATCAATCTCTCTTCTCCTCACCTCTCATCCCCATGTGCTTACCGGCCACTTCTGGGAAGTCTTCCCACAGCTTTTATTCTCCTATATGCCTAAAAGTGGAGAGGATGATCTGGGCCTTTGGTTTTGCTCTTCATTCCAGGCTGGCAAAGTTCATCCAAATCCCCTTAAACTCACTGAACCTGTTTCTGTACTGAAAAGATAGAGCTTTAAAAGCAAAAGAAAGAAATCTCTGAAATGCTAATTAAATGGAGCATTTTCAGTCATTTCAAGAAATAATCTAATCTTTAACGAAATCTGCAAAGAGCTCATTTTAATGAACCATATTTGGTATATGATAAGCAGTTACAGTTCAACTAAAACAATATCACACAGCCATGTTTTCCTGAGCTGAGAAAATAAAAACACCATCAGAGGGGAAAAAGGACATAATTTTTTAAGAACACACAATCTGTTTCATTACCATTTCTGTAGATCACACTGCAGTAAGCTATATTTAGTCATTTGTGCAGAACTGGTTTATTTTGGAGCAACACATCAATTTTTTTAATGCACTTTGAAGCAAGAAAATACTTAGCTTGCATCTATCAGAAGAAGTCTCATGGAATGAGAATTAAAATATATATAGATAAAAATACAAACACTGAAGTATTTAATATGATGCCAGCAACTGAGTGCTTGGGTGATTAAAAGACTAGACAGGGCACTAGACTCTATCTGGAAACATAGAAAAGACACTATGTTCCAATATTCCTAGCTGAACTAAATTACAGATCTGGGAACATAAAAAACACCTTCAAAAGAAAAATAAAACAATGCTACTAAAATAGGCCTGATTATGTGGGTCACTAAGTACTGTGTATTTCCCCTGTAGCATTTCATAGTAGTTACTGTTGCCAAGGGAAGCTTGATCCTCTCATTATGTATGTTTGTCTTTCACATCAGAGCTAGCCTCTTTCTTTCTATGCCCCAGAACTGTAACTGAAATAAAAATAAGGAATGAACCCCCATTATTACACAAATACCTACAAAGCAGAGGGAGTGACCCTTGCAGGTCAGAGGGTCAGCCCCCTAATCATTGATGCACTTGCTCCAGCAGACCCCTGCCTTTTGTAGAAGGGTCAAAGCCAAGACCTCTGCTGAGTGTCCCCAGTGAAGAATTAACAAGTGTGACAATTTGTGGTCCCTCCCCCTAAGGCCCCTAGTCCTGTCTGTTTGAATGCTGTAAATAGAGACATCTGGATGGAGCCCTTTCACTGCAGTAATTGAAAATGAACATGGATCAAGTTCTGGCCTGTTGTATTCATAAATCTTGAGGCTTAATTACATTAAAGGGAAATCTAGGGCCTAGCTCTATGGAAACGGCCGATTCTATCAGGCTCTCTGATCTTGAATCTTTAAGATAAGTGTTTTTGCTCTATTTTAGCACGGTCAGATAAGAAATTTTTGATCAAATGTTACAGCATTAGAACACCAATAAGACTTTTAAAGATTTTTGTTGTCATTCTATTTGCATATGCATTTCAGTTAAGTTTTCATTAGCTGACAGTTGAAAGAGTTATATATTTAAGGAATTAAATGATGTTTTTGTGATTAATTATGAGGGGGCACATAGTTTTCCAAAATGTATTTTTTAGAAGGAAAGAAGAAAAATATGCTAGCTAATTAAATATAATGACTTATATGAAAAAGATGGTTTGGCCTACAAACCCCTTGTTCCTATTCAAAAAGAACAAAAAGAGGGGGAAAAGAACAACCAGGGTTTATAATCCCAATTTAATAATATACACAGTAGGGCTGGTCAAAAAAATTCCCTCTTTTTTTTTTTAAAAAAAAAATCAGGTTTTCAGCTAGAAAGTATCTGCTTTTTTAAAAAATAAAATCAATTTTTTGTTGAAGGAACAAACACCCAAAGACTGATTTTCTAAAACTTTTCAGCTTTCAGCAGTTTTTGCCTGAAAATATTCACTGAAATTTTTGAGTTTTCAGGTTTCTGGTTTTTTTTTGACAAAAAGTCA